TCGTGAAGGACAACTTCGCGGGTAGGGTGGATGTTGACAGTTCGGGTAAACAAATGAGAGACCAAGAAACTGCAATCTCATGACGGAGTCTGACGCCTCTTTTCTATCCAGTTGCAGGAAAGGAGGGGATGTCCGTTTGACAACTTGGTCGACAGAGCCTGTTGTTCCGCGCGCACGAACCACTGGATACCATCTCAGGTTGGGCACGAGTTTCACAGCCATTGGTTGGAACTGTTGTACAGGGCTCAAGATGAGTCATGAGTCTCTGGTAACTGGCTGGCTATGAATGTTGGAGCGTAGGTACTAGGTCCGATGCAAACGGAGCCCATGCCACGGGTGTAAGCAAAGTTGCGCTGTCCGGGGACGCTTGCAGCAGACTCTTGCCTACGGCAACAGAATTTGAGGCTTTCATAGCTATTAATCCGAACCCTTCGAAGCTATTATCTAGTCTCTTGAAGCTGTTGGATCCCGGCCTCCTGGGCTGCCGCTGCTATTGGACTCGAGCCCCTTGAAACCCGGAATTAAGGTCCGTTGTCCTGCTGCTGCTTTTGAACTCGGGTCTTTTGAGGCTGTTGAAATCAGGACCGTTTGGCTGTCGCTATTATTGCATTCGATCCTTTTGAAGCTGCCAGGGCCCCTAGGCTGCTGCTGCTGAATTTGAAGCTTTTTAGCCAAGTTGGTTGAAGCTGCCAAAAGGTTAGCTATAGGTATCGAATTTCGCAGAACTTCTTTTCTTTCCTCCTTTGGGGCCCGAATGCGGCGAGCTTTTGCCTGCTTTGCTGCTTGATGATGTTTTTTGTGAGATTGAAATGTGAGGCTAGCTAGAACGTCAAGCCGCTAGTACAGGAAGGTGCCGAGAGTCCTCAACACCAAAAAGGCAAGACCGTGATGATCCGCAAAGATACGTACCGACCTTCATTTTTGAACCAATAAGATTCAGTTAAGGTTTTCTACAGAGTAGACCCATTACAGAACAGCCTCTTTCAAGAACACGAGTTGAGCAAGTGGTCATCGTTGAACAGCGCAACGCGTTATTTTGAACTAAAAGAGCCAAAAGATGGATCTCCCCTTACATCAACAGCTAAATGACAGGCTCAAATGAGAAGCCCAATCCCGAACCCTTTTATTACATGGGAAACTTTGCCTGCTTCGGTTGCTGGACGCTTCGGTCCCGACAATGTCTGACCGCCCAAAACTGTTGTCTTGTGGCATTGTAAATAGTAATATAAAAGGGCGTAATTCATCAAAGAGTCGCAATGGAATGAAGTCTTCATCAGTACTAGTACTAAGTACATTGTCAAACGGGGTTTCCAAACAAAGCCACTCTTGTGTCCAGGAAAGGCGGCGGAAGATCCCTGCGAGTCACAAATCTAGTAGCCTTCACAGCCAAAGCGTCGCACAACCCACACAGAGTCTAGCAAATTGGGACCAGAGTCCTGAAACGCTGTCACATTGCGCCTCAAATAACGACCAAACAGTCCCTGTTCAGGAATAACAATTAACGCCACCCGAAACCACCACCTGCGAATTCTGATTCCGCAATTCTAGTTTCCACCATTGCAATTGTAGCACGCGTTTGACCCGCGACATACATCTTGTTTTACCCCTCTCCACAGCGCAGGCCGATTTTTCGATAGCTTGTCGTTGATATCGTTTAGTTTGACAAGCTTTGGATCAGTGAAACGTTGTCCCCCTTGAGCAAGATTTGGCCTAAGAATGTTAGTTGCGAAGCAGTTCGTGGAAGTGTTTTGAGGTTTCATACCCAGTTGCCTTCTAGTCTCCTTGTCGTTGGTTTTCGTAACTTGAGAAACTTCCACGGCATCATCGATGACGAGGTTCATGAATTCGTCAAATCCCTGCGAAAGCCAGTCAGCATGACAACGAACAGACTTCAACTTGAAAGGTGTGCGTACTCGGATCTTTCCCTCGATACGGATTGAAAGCTGCTCGTACAGCCAAACACTAACAGTAGCATTCTATCCAAGGTTAGCACTCCGTAAGCTTAGGCTCTGATTGCAAAAAGGCCCCTGGATGCCCCGCCGCGGAAGAGATGGCGATGGATTTTATTATGCGAATTCGTGGTTCGTGATGCAGTGCCACCGTAGTTGTTCGCCATCAATCTCAGGTCGCCAGGCTCAGGTCAAACGTGAAGGAGTAGATTGAGATCGCGACTCACGGATTGGAGCAGCTTAAAGATCATGTTACTATGCAAAGTTAGCACTCTTGAGCCTCCAAACCACGGCAATCCAAGGGCGGGGCAGATGCGCTTGTTGACGAACAAAGACCAGATTGGACGTACATGGGAGGGAGCAAGACTCGGCGACCGCCGCCACCACCGCGACCAGTCATTTTGGCTTATTGTGTATGAGAAAAAAGTTTCGGTTCGTTGGGGAGGTCCGCGACAAGGAGATTGTCGGTGGTCGCGAGCTGGACCTGGGCAGCAGGTAGTCCAGTGGTGGTGTAGCTCTGGTAATTTTTGAGGTGGGGAAATGGTTTTTCCGGACGCCTCCTCGCGCGTGACATTTCAATGTTATTTATCCTCACCATACATGCGACGAACGAAACTGGGCAAATTCTCAGCATTTTATTTCGCAAGAAATCTAAGTAGCAACCTCTTGCATGTATACAACACCATGGCTCCCCAAAATCATACTTTGCTCCTCCTGGGGCCAGCTCAACTGGCCTTATACACCCGCTTCCCCTCAAACCACGTCTCTCTCACCACACCCTTCACGACGCTCTCCGGCTTCAAATCCACGTCACACACGACAAAATCCGCCTTCAGCCCAGCCTTCAAGCTCCCCGTCCACTGATCCGCAAAGCTCGAGTAGGCGGATCCATGCGTGGCACCAGCAACAGCCTGACACATAGTAAGTGCAAAATGAGGATTCACCGCCGTGTCGAATCCAGGCTCCCGATACGAGCGCCTCGTAGTAGCAACATATAGATTAGGCAACGGCTCATGAGGAGCGGTTGGTGCGTCTGACCCCAGCGCCAAAGGAGCTCCACCGTCTGCAAACTCACGATAGGCAAAGGCCCGCTGGCAGCGGTCGTCGCCGATGAGACGTGGCCAGGCGCGCAGGATAGCCGGGTCCGAGTGAACGGGCTGAATGGATGCTGTGATGCCGAGTTTGCCGAGACGAGCGGCATCTCTGGCGGACGCTAGCTCGAGATGTTCGATGCGAGGACGTCGAGATTTGTCCGTGTTCTTCTCCAGCACGTCGATTGCCATTTGGATTGTGCGGTCGCCAATGGCGTGCAAAGCAACTTGTAATCCTGCGGCGTGAGCTCGCGCGACGAGATGGTGAAGGAGGTGTTCCGGCCACAAGGAGTCTGGGTTCTCGCCGTTGCAGTACGGCTCTGTCAGAGACGCGGTGCATGCATCGATGATTCCGTCCGTGATGACCTTTACACCTACGATGCGACAGTCTGGCGTGGTTTCAGCATTGTACAGTCTCGCCAACTCGGCAGCACGATCAACCTGCGCAAGGACACTGTCCAAAGAATCAGTCGGTTTCATGAGCCAGTATGCGGCTACTCGCATGCCTTGCAAGCCATTCGTGTCGTTCCTCAACGCCACCAGTGGCTCCCAAATGGTGTCGTCCATGGCCATGTCGATCATGCCCGTGTATCCCACGGCATTGAACGCCTTGAAAGCGGACTGGATAGCGTCCTTCTTCTCCTCCATGCTCGCCACCCGTGCTACAAAGGGCCAGATGGTCTGAAAGACGGCACCTTCATTGAACACTCCATTCGGTTTGCCGTCCTTGTCACGCTGGATACTCCCCCCCGCTGGATCTGGTGTGTCGTCGTTGATGTCCATGACTTTGCAAATCTCCTTAAGACCAAGGGAGTTGCACCAGGTAGAATGCAAGTCCTTGGTATCTACAAAAATAGGCCGCGGATCTAAGTCATCTAACAGCGTGGCATCTACGCCCTCGGGCGTCATGGAATGCATCCATCCTCGACAAAAAATGCGTGAAACTTCTTGGTGAGATTGCGCGTACTTTTTGATCTCTGTTCGAATATCCTCTAGATTCTTGCATGCGTCAAGACTGACTTTGGTGAGGGACTGTCCCACGAGGAGGAGGTGCAAGTGGCCGTCAATGAAGCCCGGGAGAATCGTCTGGCCGCCGAGGTCCTGGATGGTTGCGCCGGATTGTTTGGCAATGCTTACGGCGTCATCTTGTTCTGAGCCGATGTGTTGAATGGTGCCGTTTTGAACGACCATACCCGAGGCAAAGCTTGGGTTGTCTACGTTGTTGGTCGGTGACTGGTAGATGTTGCCATTGACGAAGACTGTAAGGTCTTGATCGGTGCCCAAGTCTCCCATCTTTGAAATGCTGCTGAAATGAAGCGGTTGCCGGAATTGACAGAGGCCGAGTATGCAAGCAGATCTATCGTATAATATATACTAAATGAGGGATGAGCGGAAGTAGGGTGAGGAGGCAGCCAGCGTCAATTATTTGGCGACGGCAGCGCTCTTATCAATCAAGAATCAAATGGCCGATCCTGACCACGAGACTGTATCCGCCGTCGGTCCCTCGGCAGCTATTTAAGCCAGTCACTCCAGCTACTCCAGTCACCGGAAACTGCTTGACAAAACAGTGGTGCAGGATCCACCGGAACTTAAGCATTTCATTGTGCAGCTCGTTGTCGGCCGTGATCGGCGCATTCAGGGCATGATGGACTACCAGACTGTTTACTGTATCCGCTGTGGCGTCCGGGCTAGAAGCAGCCCGGTGCCAGTCAAGTCAACTGGCCCATCAACAACCGACATCCGTCTGCAGCTCCTGTATACGGCATATCCGAGCCCAATGTCCCCCGTTTAAGATGCTTCAAGACTTCCACAGCTTGCTACAAAAGAGTTGCAACGGGAAAACACTGGTGTCCACGCGAGTGAGGAGAATTACGAGGACATCCACCTTGTCTAGAACATCCAAAAGTAGCTGTCCGTACATGGCTCAGTAATTACGCATTGTTTGCTTGGCACCGACTCTTCACGCCTTGTTCGCAATCTTCATCAATCCCCTCTCACGTACCAAATCAGCCATCATCGTAGCCGTTTCGCCCCCCAGAGCCCTAAGACCTTTCACGACCCCGTCTCTATCAGCCTCCTTCAACTCCTGGCTCATCTTCACCTTTCCCTCCAACCTAGTAATCTCGATTTCTATCCCAATGATGCCCCTGAGTGAGCGCTCGACATAGCTGGGCGGCGCGTCCTCCACTCTCCACGGCCTCGGCGAGGTGTTTCCTTCATTAAAGCCCATAATGTCTCTCTCCCCGACTCTAGCCAGGTCACTCAGCTGCTGGATTAAGAAGTCGCTAGTTTCGGGGAGTTTGGAGTCCCAGTGAATCCTTGCCCGGCCATACACCTGAGCGGCAGAGTAGTTCCATGTCGGCGCGGTGCGCTTATTCGTCGACATGGTCTCGGAGTAAAAGTTTGTAGTGATGTAGTGCTGGATGGGAGACGTGAATACAACCAGGACGTCCTGGTCGAGGATGTGCGTGGTGGACTGAGCGAGGGCTTCCACGGCGGCCTTGGCCTGTGGGTTGTCCCGCGCCATGTGCCCTCTGAGGCGGCCGAGGCTATTGCCCGTCAAGTCACCGTCGACATCGAGGAGGAATGGTATATGCGTCGCCTGCAGAGTAGGAAATGAGCATGTCGGCGATGTGATTGATGTAGTTAGGACACCTAAGGGGTTGGATTTGATGAAGTGCTGGAGGGCGGTGGTGCTGGTTTCTGCGTGGTCTCTCCGTAGATGCATTTTGGCTTTGCTTGCTTAAGCTCCTGGGGTTCAAGGAAGGCAAATAGACAGTGTGAAGAAAAATTGTGTCTATGTAAGAGCAGGAAGATGGCCATTGCGACGAATGCTTCGCGCGGAGAGGACCGCACTTGCTAGCCGGGTGAGGCTCACCGCCTGTGCCATTGTCTCAAGACCGATTTTCGGACATGAAGTGCCATGGGGGCTTGGAATTGTGTATAATACCATATACTGTCGACCAATGACCAGTTGAGCAAATGGGAAGATGATGGTTGGGCAGGTTGGCGCTTGAGTCGCGATTTGCAAACGACTGTCGTGCGAAGATTGCGAGCGGTTTTTTGTGGAGACGGTTTTGCTGGGAAGGAAAGTCGAGCCGCCGCCTGGGGAGGAAGGTCGAGCCGCCACAGCGCATAAATGGTTATCAATCCGCACGCTTTTCTCCCATCTCGTCGGAATCGGTTCCATCAAACATACCAATCCATCAAAGACGCAATGCCGACAAGGCCATTTACCCGGGGGAAAATAACATCACGCTAGCACGCAGCCCGACAGTTATTCCGTCGGTAGAGGCTTCAGCAAACCGAGCTAGTAAACGACAACGAGATAGCTCCATCATTTCAAGGCTGTGCAAGAAATGGGACCGACAAGACCGCGCTTCGGAATACTACATCACTTCAGCGACAAAACTACGAACGAGAACGACAAAGGTTGCCTTATGTTCCACCTGTCGGCCTCTGAACTGTTGAAGTCATATTAGGCGTATCGCGCAAGAGTCCCCTAGCAGCGAGAGCGCCATTCCGGGCATTGCTTGAAATGGATCTAGCCGATCGCTCAGCGGCAGACTAGTCGTGACGATGGCGCCGATGAGACGATAACGAGGAAGGCTATGTATGTCCTTGGATGATGTGAAGCAAAATGTCATTGTTATTGACTCAATGGAGACAAGCTTACCGGTATTTCCGGCAGTTGATTGTCACACAGTTACACGAGGGCTACGATTGTGAGACCTACGGCAGAAGGCTTGCACCACTTCTTGTATAAATAGAGCTCTTTCGTCAACTAGGCCCTGAAGAAAACCAAGGACCTCTGATACCAAAGACTGTTATTAGATGAATTGAGTCGTCGACTCCAAGCCCTCACTGCGCCCTTGTCACATTGACCGTCTATCACCAGAGGAATCCTCACAAGACGCAGAAAGTTTCTTTTGCAATTGACTGCAAGGTCCAAATTTTATTCCTAGTATATACATTATAACTCAGGCGACCCGAGGCAATATGAAGCTATCTCAACTTTCACTTCTCCTCACCTGTGTAAGCTTTATCCTCTCAGCCATCGCATTTGCGCCGAGTTCCTAACCTCAAAACATAGGCAACTGCTCTACAGGCTGCACCAGGTTTCCACACAAACTTGAAAAGACAAAACTCGACCTCAAATGCCATGATGCAACTCAGCGCCGACCCCGACTTCCACTATGAGCTTCTGCGCGTCATATCATTAGCACCCTACCAAGGCGCTGACGTTGGAGAAGTCCTCGTTGCCGCCCAAAAGATAAAACCCAAGGACTTTGAAAGCTTCTACCACGTATTCAATGACCTCGCCACCCGTGTCGACAGTACTGCCCGCGCAATCGACGCTCGCAAGAACCCGATATCTGCCCGCCAACACTTCTTCAAGGCCGCAACGTACTATCGCTCTGCCGACTTCTTCCTCCACGGCAATTGGAGCGACCCGCGCATCTACAGTCTCTGGGACAGACACCTTGCGGCCTTCAACTCGGCCATTGCCCTTCTTCCTGTGCCCGGACAGCGTGTGAACCTCCGTGCCAAGAACGACAACTTTACAATTCCGGCCATCTTCTACGGCAGTGGCATGCCCGGGCCCCGCCCAACAGTTATCCTCGGCAACGGGTATGACGGCGCCCAGGAGGAAATGTACCACGTCATCGGACAGGCTGCCCTCGAGCGAGGAATGAACGTACTTAGCTACGAAGGGCCTGGGCAGCCGACGGTCCGCCGGGAACAGAATCTCGGCTTCATCCCAGACTGGGAAAGAGTCGTCACCCCCGTCATCGACTACCTGCTCACACGCCCAGAAGTGGACTCGCAAGCCATCGGCCTCCTGGGCTACTCACTCGGTGGCTATCTAGCGCCGCGAGCAGCCGCGTTTGACCACCGCCTCGCGGCCGTGTTCGCCGTCGACGGCGTTTACGACTACGGCGCGGCAAATCTGGACATGTACCCCAAGAGTCTGAGGGCGATATTCCGCTCTGGCAACGCGACGCTCTTCAACGAGTACGTCGAGCAGGGCCTGGCCGATCCGGCTGCAAAGACAGCCGCTATCTGGGGTATCCAGCAGGGCTTGTGGTCGTTCAATGCCCAGACGCCATTTGAGTGGATGACAAAGGTGGAAGACTTCAACCTGGCGAGCGTGGTGCACAATATCACGGCACCGGTGTTTGTTGCACAGGCCGAACAGGATGATGTGATTCCAGGGCAGAGCAAGATCCTCGCCGAGAAGCTGGGCAAGTTGGCTACACACCATGTTTTCGAGAGCGTCGATGGTGCCGCGTACCACTGTTCTGTTGGTGCAAGTGTATTGCAGAACCACGTACTGCTGGATTGGTTCGAGGGCGTGTTGGAACAGCACAAGTAGATTGTGACTGGAAGGGGAGGGTTGAATACAAATGTATTTCTTACAAGTTTGAACTACCAAGTCTACAGGCCTGCTTTTCCGTCCTGTGCCTGAGGATAGACCTTTTTAAATCACTAGATCTATAACTGTCACACAGTTACACAAGAACTACAATCACGGGACGTAGGGAAAAGGAACCTCACCGACTTCTTGTATTTAAAGAGGTCTTTGGTCAACGAGGCCTTGAGGAAAACCAAGGACCTTTGATACCAAGGACTGTTATTAGATGAATTGAGCTATTGCTCCAAGCCTACTATTGTACCCTTGTCACAATACCAGATGCGGCGGTGCTTCTGTGACTTATTTAGCTCGACGCCTCGTGCATTAGTGCTTCTTCTCCATTATGTGTCTAGCGTGAGAGGTAACCTTGCTGAGACATGGGCAGGGCCCGGACCGGAGGAGGTGAGACGTTTATTTGGATATGTGAGAGAGATTGCCTAGGAGCCGTTTGGGACAGATCAAGCTACAGCCGCTGCACAGCCCGAGTTGAGAAAACAGGGAACTGCTTAGGGATTCCTCGGATGTGTTGACATGATGCAAGTCTGTGCTGGCAAGGGTGCCCAGTTCAAACCCTGCCAATACATCAAGAATGCAAAGAGCAATGCATAAAAGGAAAAGTTGCCCTTCACGACGAACAAAAAAACTAGTGTTTTTATGTGCTCCAAAACAGGGCTTTACTGACATAACGACATAACAGCGACAAGTGAAATCATGCAACAAGAGACTGGACTATACAGACAGAGCAAGCACCACTGCTGGTACGGTGGATTAAAATCTCACACTACGGTTTAGGCTTTAAAGAATTTAAAAATAGGCTTGAATAGGCCAGGATGATTATTTTTATGCAGAAATAGCTTAATTACCTTGAAAATAATAAACAACGGTAAATTCTCTTTACCAGTTATATAGTCTATACGATTTAAGTCCTTTTTGTGAAGCTGGATATCTAGCGAGGCTACATGTAATACCTATATATAAATTTTAATTAAAGGAGGTAGATGTATTCTCCTAGTAGTGGGTTTACTCCAACAACGTTATAAAGTCGATATTTTACGCTGTAAATTCGATAAAACTCTCGGAATAACACGTCTTGTTGTGTTAGTTTAATGATTGTCAGTTTCTGTGCGAGAGTGTCACGAAAGTCACACAACATCACGGCACGGGCCTTCCCTTGGACCTCACGATATTCAGATAAGGGCTCAAGATTGTCTCACCACTATCTTATATAAACAAGACGTCTCTGTCCTCCAGGCCTTGAAAGAGCCGGTGACCTTTGATACGAAAGTATGTTAGTAGCATGAAGTGAAGCTCGTTATTCCCCGTCTTTTCATCAAGCCCTCGTCACAAAGAGCCTTGCCGTTGCTTTCTCGAAGGGATCTGGAACGTCGTTGCTCAGTATTATAACGGGTCAATTGCAAGGGTGTAGTCCACCTTTTGGGCTCCGGAAGCTCCGGAGCCCGTCCGGGGCCGCGCACGCCGGATGAATAATTTGTGGTGTGCTGTCAGCTCTCAAATCTCCACTTCTGGAACCAGAGTTAGGTAACATCATTTTCCAAATAAGGAACCTCTGTGGCTCGTGGGTGTTGCCGTTTGGGGTGAATTTGTAAGCCCAAGGAATATCCTGCCCTTCTGTCATGCGCCGCCTCATTTTACCATGCTACATCCATGAGCAGAACTCATTCCCCTGGTAGGGTGGAAAAGATGGGCATGGCTTACTGTCAGCCCAGGCCTTGTCCAGGGAGGCCTGAGTATAAAGCGGGCGACGACCCTCGTTCATTCTCAATAGATATCTCAAACAATCCTCATCTTGTTCTTCCATATTCCATTATCAATATTCCATTATCGAACTCGTTTTCAAGCAGTACACTATAGCTAGTGGATATGGCCGTTGACACTCTATCCCTCGAGGGCAAGGTTGCCATTGTTACTGGCTCCGGACGGGAGAACGGCATCGGGGCTGGCATCGCCCTGGCCCTGGCCCGCAACGGGGCGTCCGTAGTTGTCAATCATCTATCAGACTCGTCTGCTGATCGAGCTGCCAACGTAGCGCAGATGCTGAGGCAGGCCGGGGGCAAAGCCATTGTCGTCCAGACCTCGGTCGACACCTTGGAAGGGGCTAAATACATTGTCCAAAAGACGCTCGAGGGTTTCCAAACCGACCATATCGACATCCTGGGTAAGCACATGGACTTCTCGCATACGCATCTCTACTCCACTGGCTCTAGTGTCGTCGACGAACATGTTGCATGCCATAACAATCTGGACCTTTGACCAAAGCTAACCCGACCTCCGCTCCTTGCCTCAAGTGAACA